TTTCACTTTCCTATTTTCACGTTTTTCATTTTCTTCTTACGTTTCCCTTCCATTTCCTTGCACTTCTCATGCACGTTACGCAGTAAGTCCACGCCAAGTAAGTAGAATTCCTTGAAGTTATATGTTACTCACTCTTTAATTGAGTTATATTGGAGATGAGTTATGAGAGTTCTTGTGTATAGGAGAAGAAAGTTCAAAAGTAGCAGAAAAGAGAAGCTAAAACAGAGTCCCAGCTTTTTGAAAATAAGGTTTGATATCTCTTGTTATTTCCCATGTTCTTTGCATGAAAAATTGTAGCCCATGAGATCATATGTTGCTTATTGTGGAGTGAGAGGATTGAAAATGATGTGAAAACAGGGGATGGAATGAGTTCATGAACCAGAGTTTGCTGGAAATTTTATCAGCAACTTCATTTTGATTTTGACCCCAGTAAATGATGGAACTAGGAATTGTCATAGAAGATTTATTTGTTCCTCTATGTGTTATCTTTACGTGAGCTTTTGAATCACTCAATTTGAAGTTGTATATTGAGAGTTATGGCCAAAAGAATGAAAGTTGTTATATCCTGAGAGGAGTTATGGCCAAAAGAACACAGACTGCATAGAATCACGTCGCTGCGCTCGCGCCATATGGAGCAAGTCCGGCTCGCGATTCGCGATTTCCTATTGCGCGCTCGCGACTTGAGTCAGGTAGCTCTCTGACTCTCAATTGCACAACTCGCGCTCGCGAGGATCACATGCACGGTCGCAACTTTGGCCAGAAGCTCTCTGACTCTCAGTGTGCGCATCTCGCGCTCGCGAATCACACAAGCGCGCTCGCGACGTGTGCTGCGCGGTCGCGACTTGAGCCAGAAAACCCTCTGACTCTCAAATGCATTTCTTGCGCTCGCGAGGTTTGAAGACGCGCTCGCGACTTCTCTCTGGGAAGCATCTCGCACTCGCGACTTGGAATGTCGCGCTCGCGACTGATGCTTTGTATGTAAATCACATTTCTTGCTCACATGCATGCATCCAATCATTTTACCAACAAAAATACAACATAAGAAATGGATTAAAACCCAATGTAAGCATTTAATATGGTGTGAAAATAAATCAATATAGATGAACTAATGAAGTTTGCAAAACCATTTAATGTGCTAATTGTGTTACATTGTTGATATGCTAATATGAAGCTCCATTGAGGTTGGTAAGAACCATGTAGATAAGGCTTACTGTCGCGACAATAGAATCAGCAGATTCTGCGGCCCATAACCCAGTTTGAAACTCCGGCTACAGTTGAGTGGATATGATTAAACCGTGCGGTGCAAATCCGGTTAGGGGCACCAAAACGGACAATATTGGCATAGGCGAATCCGGTTTGGGGCCTATGGCATACAATTTCATCCAGTTTCATACAGTTTATCTTATCACTTCGGTTTCACTATGACCTTATGGAGCCATACAGATATCTTGACATAACATTTCATGAATCATACAGTCTACTATACAGCAAGAAAGATTATCAAGATAAAATGAAAATATCATGATCTGTGTGCTTACATTCCATATGTAAGTACATGTTTATTTCTACATATGTATGTGCTTATATGTTTCTATGTTTCATTATTCATTGTAATATTCACTGAGTTTAATCAGAGTTGCAGAATTCATACAACATAAAGAACATCAGGTAAGATCATGAACGTATATTGTTGTATATGCTTACACGTTTAATTATTGCTTCTGTAAAGAGTCATACAGTCATGAGATGTTATTAATCGTAATTTATATGATGTGACTAAAAGTGCATAAGTCATACAGCATAATGAATAGCAAGTAGTAACTAGTATCATGTCTTGTAAATATTCAGTACATTATTACTATAAGCAATCTCAGCATGATATTAGATTATATTCAATATACAGTATGTTTTCAGGCATGTCAGACCATACAGTATCCAGTTTTGTAGCATCTCGACTCGGTTCAATTCGGGTTTACGGGTGGACCGGGAAAGTGTACATTACACGGTCAGGAGGTTGCTCCTAAAATTATCAACACCAAAGCAAAGGTGTGCCAACATTAATCCAAGTTTCTTTGCAATAAATTTTCGAACCCATAGAAGCTCAGATGTTGTGTTTGCAATTGCTCTATACTCCGGCTTTTCGTTGAAGACCGAAGAGACCACTCTTTTTGTTTGCGAGAGCTCCAAGAAATCAATTCCGACAGCTAAATTGCATAACCAGTAGTGGATTTCCTATCTTCAATGGACCCAGCCCAATCTGCATCACCCATCAGGCAGTAAATTGAGTGACAGCAGATGGTTTAATGACTAAGCTAGGTGAAGAAGCCCCTTTAAAAATACCGCACGTATACGTTTAATTCTGCCATTGAAATTCAGTTGGGAATGCATTGAATTGAGCCTAAGCGGTTTACTGAAAAACCAATTTCTGGTCGAGTAAATGAAATATTGGAGAACTACCAATGTGCTTCGGTATAGTGAAGGATCCTTGGAACTGTTGGTTGTGGCTGCCGTTTTAGAGTTGAAATCGAAAGCAGGTGTAAAGCAAAATTTGCTTCATGCATTTAACTCTTTTAAGTAATCAGCTATATACTATTGTTGAAATAAAAACAGCTGTCATTACTTTCCAGGTTGCTTGTACTCCATAAAAAATAAATGTAAAGTGCCAAGTTCTTGAGCAAATTAACCTTGTAGACAACTTCCAACATGAGCAGCAAGCCTTCACATCATTTCCTATTAAAAGATAGGTCATCCACATATATTAAACAATACAAAATATTGAAGCTCCCTTGCCGAAGACCGAAGAACAAATAATGAATGATCCAACTTAGACTGAGAAAAACCACAACTAAGCAAAACTTCTCTTAAGCATTGATTCCATTGGCGCGGGGCCTGTTTCAATCCATATAAAGAACGATGCAATCTGCACATATGAGATGGTTTAGTTGTATCAACAAAACCAGGAGGCTGCACCATGTAAATAGTTTGATCAAGCTTTCCATGAAGAAAAGCATTCGACACATCATATTGCGTAACTTTCCACTTATTAAAGACAGCAATGCTTAGTACCAGTCTAATCGTTGTGGGTTTGACCACAGGAGAGAAATTTTCTTCATAATCCACACCGGGGCGTTGATGAAACCCCTTAGCAACTAACCGAGCTTTGTAACGGGAAATAGATCCATTGGCATTCTCTTTTACCTGAAATACCCACTTGCAACCCACTATGTTGGCATTTGGTGGTGGCACTATTAATTCCCAAGTCCCAAGTTGTAATAAAGAATTAAGCTCAGAATCCATGGCTTCTCGCCATTCTCGATACTTCTTTGCTTTTGTAACACTGTGTGGCTGACGAGGTACCACAGCTGCGCAGACTCTTGGTCTTGAATGACCTGTCTTAGACCGAGTCAGCATAAGGTGTACATTAGTTACCGCCGACGGTTGCAAAGGAACAGCTAATAATGGAGAATCATCACTTCCAGATTCTGGTTGCGAAATAACAGTAAGTGGAGCTGCTGAATGCTCAATTTCAAGTTGCCGAGTGGAATCAGAAACATCAACCAACCCCATATTATCATTTACTGGTTCAGAAACAGAACCAGTACCTGTTTCATGATTTCGCTGTATAGTTGAAATCGCAGCAGGTGGGAAAATTCTAGCTGTGTTATCCAGCGGTGGTGGCGGAGGGCCAAGTATTCCAGGACTTGAGTTTGCAGGTGGAACAGATAGGTGGAACAGATTGTTGATGAGAAATTGTAGTTGTTGGCACCTGCACTTGAGAAAAATAAAATTGTTTCTCATCAAACACCACATCACGTGAAATGTACAGCCTGTGTGAGGAGACATCCAAGCATTTGTATCCTTTGTGAATAGTGCTGTATCCAACAAACAAACATTTAATTGACCTGTTCTCAAGCTTGTTTTTATTATAAGGTCTTGTTAGTGGATAACAAATGCAGCCAAAAGATCTGAGTTCATATATATTCGGCTTTTTCTGAAATAACTTCTCAAATGGTGAGCAATTTGGTAACAAAGATGTGACAACTCTATTAATCGCATACACAGCAGTTTCAAAAGCAAAGTCCCAATATTTCAATGGTACAGAAGCATGATTTAATAACGCTAAAGCGGTTTCAACAATATGCCTATGCTTTCTCTCACTATGCTTTTCTCCTCAAAGCACCCCATTTTGCTGTGGTGTGTGCAGGACAAGAACAAGCCGCAAGGAAATACCATTCTCACGAAGAAAAGGAGCTAACGGACTACATTCCCCACCCCAATCACATTGAAACATCTTAATTTTCTTATCAAAGAATTGTTCAACAAACGCCCGAAATTTCACAAAAGTTTGAAATACATCAGATTTATTTTTCAAGCAATAAATCCACGAGTATTTGCTATAGTGGTCATAAAACAAGACATAAAACCTGTTACCATTGGCAGAGATAACAGGGGAAGGACCCCAAACATCAGAACATATGAGCTCTAAAGGAGCAGAAGCAGTAAAATTAGATAAGGAATATGGCAATCTGTGTGACTTGGAAACACAACAAGCTGAACATAAAGAATTTTTATGAGAATCAAACGAAACATTATTCAACTTTAATTTAATTTAGAAATAACTGCTCGATCGTGGGCATGTCCCAGTCGAGAATGCCAACAAGAAAAAGAAACATGATTAACTAAAACAGGAGGGTGAGGTGACAGAAAGAATTTGTAGAGACCACGATCAATCGGACTTTTGTGAAGCACTCTCCTCGTGCGGATATCCTTAACAAGAAAGAAATCAGGAAAGAATTCAAGTGAGACCCAATTATCACGAGAAAAAGTATTCACAGACAGTAAGCTAAAGGGTGATTGCGAAGAATAAAGAACATTATTTAAGCGAAATTTAGACTTGTCACATAACACAGTGCTACCAATATGAGATATGGGAATTGTATTACCATTGGTTACAGTAACCTCATCCGGTCCATGATAGTCAGCTTCAAGAGAGAGATTATTCATTGATCCAGTAAGATGATGTGTTGCCCCAGAATCAACAATCCAGGGTTGAGCTTGTGAGGAATAAGGACAATCCAGGGTTGAGCTTGTGAGGAATAAGGAAAGGTGTGATGAACCTGTGGCGAATTTCGTGGGCTTGGACACTGGCGAGACATATGCCCAGTACCATTGCAATTGTAGCAAACAACAGGACCCCCTGAACTCGAAGTCCTTGAATGTCTGTTGGAACCATTATAAGAACGTCCACCACGCTGTGTCTGACTTCGACCTCCTCTACCTCTAGAAGAATTATTATTTTGTCGAGAAGTAGTTTCACGATTACTGTAAAGTGCAGTGGCAGGTATGGTGACAGTAGTAGCAGCCTCATGTTTCTTAAGTAGTTGTTCCTCTGCCAGCAACAAACCACGAAGATCTTCATATGTGATTGGTTGTAATCGTGCCTCAACAGATCTAGTGAATGGACGATAATCAGGTCCAAGGCCGTCAAGAATAGCGCCAATAAAGTCATCTTCTGAGATTGCGCTTTGAAGTGCATGCAATTAATTAAACAAAGATTTGGCACGTTGCAAATAGGTTTCAATAGACTTGTTATTCCGTTCGAGATGATGAATAGCACTTTTTAAGTGCCGAACTTGTGTCCTAGATCCAGCTGCAAACGATGCCTCCAGGTTCTTCCAAGCTTCGAGGGCAGATTTAACTCCAACAACATTATTCAGCAGCGGTTCAGTTAAGGATGAATTTATCCAGCCAAGAACGATCTGATCCTCTAGATAGCCAAGAACGATCTGATCCTCTAGATACCAAGTAGTAAACGCCGGATTCGGGGAATTATCAATAACAAGTGGTGGTGGAGTAAAAGTGGAATCAATATGTTTCTCAAGATTGTAACCCCTCAAAATCGGCAAAAGTAGGGTTTTACAAAGAATATAATTACTGGAGGTCAATTTAACCGTAAGTTGATCACTTACATTAGGAACATTCAAAAAAGAGGCAAGAACAGAAGTAGAGGAAGAAGAAACAAGAGCAGGGGTTGTCGAAGAAGCAGAAGGAGTGATAGAACTTTCTTCGATACTTGATGTACTCATGGTTGTTAAACCTAATATGGCCTTCGATACTTGATGTACTCATGGTTGTTAAACCTAATATGGCTCTGATACCATAAATGATTAGGAGAAGACTTGATTTCTTATTAATAGAAAAGGTCTTTATATACAGTATCTCACATTCTGTAGATAACTATACAGCTAAGATAGACAACTATACTAACAGAATTACAGTGATATAGATAACAACAACTGAACTAACCTTATCACTAACATAGCATATAACAAATTTATAGATTTTTCTCTTGTATTTTGATAACTTTGAAATTCCTTTTGTACATTTATTAGTTAATTGATACTTTGGCATGTTTGCCAATTAACCTTATACAAGGGTAATAGATTATTTCTTTCTTATTCCGGAGGGGTCCGAGCCATCAGTGAGATACCACTCTTTCCTATTTGATCCAAATGATATTTTAAGTTTAAGTAATTTGAATTTTAAATTCAATGCCCAAGAATTACAATTTATGGTTAAAAGATGTAACTAAATTTTATTTTTCTATTTTTTTGAAAGGATTAAAGCTGATTCCAATTTGTATCGGCCCCATTAATTGCGCATAATATAAGACTAATAAATTACAAATAATATTTGGTGTTTAGTATTAGCGTTAAAAAAATAGAACTAGTATTTGTCTAAAGTGTAAAAGTTATTATTTTAATTTTATTATTCATATTGAATAATTTAAATAGAACTTTATTTATATAGTATCAATATTTAGGATAAAATAATGTATTTGAGTTCTTTGAATTGTACATTATTATATATATCTAAAGGGCGTGAATGGTTTAGTGTTGCCAGTATATTTACCATTTACCATTCAGCCCTTTTTTTCTTTTTGCTCTTTTTACGCTTAGTAATAGTAACTCTTAGTAAACCTTTTTTTTTTTCTACAGTGGGCCAATTAGCCCAAAACTTTCAACTTGACTATAATATATTCTTCATCTTCTTTTTTTCTTTTTTTTTTAAATGTGCCTGTTTTATAATTTTTCAAATAAAAAAGTACTTACTTACCACCATCACCACTATTATTAATAAGTGACAATCTTATAAATTTATTCTATCAATTTATTGTTCATTTATATGTTATTATGTATATTATTACTCTATTAGCATGAGTACAAAATTTTAATGGCAAATTTGTTTATTTTGTTGAATTATATATATATATATAATAAGAAAATTTTCACCTTGAAATTTTAAAATAATTTTCTTTTCATATTGACTATATTTTTTTTTTTCACAGAATAATAAATATAACAACATTGTTTATCCATGTAAGCTTTTTTTTTTTTTAATCTTCCTTAACTATATTTCTACCACTTTTTTTTTTAAGAAAAAAAATCTTTATACGTGCTACATGCTATGTAAATTGCATAATATTTTGTACTAATACAAGCATAAATATACATCAATGGATTTTCAATTTCATTTAATTGAAAAAACATAATCATCCGATAACAAATATTTTAACCTAACTATATTAGACCAAAATGTATAAATAGTACTATTATGGTTTCTTGCATTATTATATATACATGTTAGTATAATATTCATAATGCTATTTATCATGTTAGTATAATATTCATAATGCTATTTATGAGTTGTATGGAATGCTAAATTCTATAATTATGACATACTTTAAATTTACAAATGTTAATTTATGATAATTAACCGGCATATCATGCCAGGATTTATGTTCGTTCTAACTAAAATTTAGCTAGGATTAGTTAAATTGTTTGCACAAAGTATTATACTTTTTTCTATATTTTAATGAGAAACTTATTTTTTAATTTAAAAATTAATGTTTAGTAGTAATAATAATAATAACTTTAGAAATTTAATTTGATCTAATCTATATTTTAAATTATTCATAATTTTTATTTAAGTTATCACATTCAAATCTATTTACCACCATCATATAAATATATATATATATATATATATAATATGAAAGCTTTATATATATGAAAGCTGAAATAAAGAGAAGATTTAAAGCTTCTCTATACATTCACTATTGCATTTCTCTTTCTTTATAAAATTTTTGAAATTTTCTTTTTATTTTCTACAATTTGATTGGGTGTATATTTTTTTAAAGATTAATTTTTTAAATCAGCATATAGATAATTAGGCATTTTAAAATGATTAAAATTTAATTTTCGTTTAGATAAACACTGACCAAAAAATATTAATTTGAATGCAATATAAATTCTTCTCTGATCCAACTTATTTATGTCATTGGAATTAAGCTGAACTCACAGTCTACGGTGAATACATAAAACAACAATCTTGAACCCTATACTATATCAATTTTAAGCGTGTCAATTATGAATGTATTATTTTATTGTTGTACAGATCCCTCTTGCTATTAATCATTTTAATCAAGTAAGTGCGTTAATCATGTTAATCAAGTAAATGGTAATCAAGTAAGTGCATTAATCATGTTAATCAAGTAAGTGCATTAATTATGTTAATCAAGTAAGTGCATTTGCTTTTTTTTATTTTAAGTAATATTTTATTTTCTTGGTAAATCCACTATGCAACAAAAGAAGTTAATGGAGTTCTGCAAGGGCAATGGAATCATGTTGACTGCTTATGCAGCTTTAGGAGCTAGAGGAACTATTTGGGGTAGCAACAGAGTCATGGAGAATCAAGTGCTCACTGAGATTGCGAATGCCAGAGAAGTAACATTTGCTCATGTAATTTTCAGTTGTTCTTATTTTTTTAAATTGCTTGTGATTCATATTTGTAGTGGAAGGAACCTAGATTGGGTACAACTCTTGAATTTCAAGAAATTTTCAAAAATGCCTTAGATGGATATATGAGCAAAGAATCTATACTTGGGTGAAAAGTTTCAACGGGATAATTTGAGTTTTTGATTGTATTTTTTTTAAAAGGGAAATAAATAAATGACTGAGAAGCTATATGATAAGAGTAAAATTATTCAAACCTTGTAGTCAAACTTCTGTTATTCCTATTCCTTGATCATAGGGATGTTTACTGAGATAGTGTAAAACGTATTCCTGTATTGTAGGCATTTTGTTACTGCTCTTGTATTTTAAATACTCATCAATAACAATCTGAAAATCATTATCCCTTCCATCTTTTTGCCAATCTTTATGGTATCAGAGCAAATTTAAGGTTTCAATACCGTGTGTTTTTTTTTTCCCATGGCGCCTTCTACCACTTTTGCATCATCTTCTTCTTTTGCATCATCTTCTTCTGTTATATCCTCAACCATTCCCTCAATCCAGAATCATGTTACGGTGAAACTCACCACAACAAATTATATTCTATGGAAAACCCAACTTGTGCCTTTTCTTCATGGTCAGCAGTTGTACCATCATATTGATGGTTCTATTTCTTCTCCTCCAAAGTTTATTAATGATTTTCCTAATCCTGATTTCCAAGACTGGTTCTCAAAGATCAAATAGTGCTGGGCTGGATTCTTAGTTCTCTATCTGAATCGGTTCTGTCACAAGTTGTTGGTGTCAAAACTGCTCACGAAGCTTGGACTCGGCTTCAAACAACTTATGCCTCTGGCTCTAGAGCACAAATTCGTACAATAAAAACTGCTCTTTATACCTTGTCCTCTTTATACCTTGTCTCGTGATACCGAAACTATTGTTGTCTATAATAATCGAGCAAAACCATTATTCCGATCAATTACTTGCTCTTGATGCTCCTATTTCTGAAGATGAATCTCAATCGATCATATTTTAAGGGGGTAGGTCCCGATTACAGAACCTTTTCACTCGATATTGAATGCACGACTCACATCAATTTTCATTTGATGATCTTGGTTTTTTATGTGATAATAATGCAGATTAATTAGTTCTCCAATACCTCACTTACTACACCAGCAGTTGATCACTTTACCAATCGCCAGTCATCTCGTGGAGGTTATAGAGGAAGGGGACGAGGTGGCCGGCGAGGAGGCTATCAATCCAATGGAGGTCGTGCAAGAAATAAAAATTCAGAGACTTATTGTCCAACCTGTTACAATTGTGGAGGCAGTGGTCACACTTCCAATGTTTGCCCCAGTCCTAAAATCACCAACCAAAATACCAAACCTGCCAGCAACTACTCTTCTTCACCAACTCCGTCCAATAAGCCGTGGATTGTGGACAGTGGAGCAACCCAGATTGTGGACAGTGGAGCAACCCATCATCTCACATCTGAACTGGAAAACTTGGCCATTCATTCTGAGTATTCTGGGACTGATGAAGTAGCTCTCACAAATGGTAAAAACTTGCCAATTTCTAGTATCGGTTCTAATCATATTTCTCTCAATTCTCATAATTTTTCTTTAGATAATATCTTATATGTTCCCACTTCTAACACCAATTTGTTGTATGTTCGTCAGTTTACAGTTTCTAATGATGTCTCATTGGAATTTTTCTCTAATTTTTTTGTGATTAAGGACCTTCGAACGAAGCAAATACTTCATCGGGGACACGTTAAAGATGGACTGTATTCTCTTCATCCACCATGCCTCCATCAGCTATTCATTCAGTTTCCTTGTCAACATGGCATGCCCGTTTGGGTCATGCTTGTTCTCAAACAATTAATAAAATTCTATTGTCAAATAAGTTGTCTGCTTCTCCTAGTAATATGAAATCTTTGTGTGAAGCATGTTGTGTTAGCAAATCACATAAATTACCATTTGTTGCCTCTTCTTTTGTTGCTAAACAACCATTAGAATTAATTTGTTCTGATTTATAGGGATCTGCACCTATTTCCACATCTGATGGTTGTTTATATTAGTCATATTTTTTGATCATTTTACTAAATATACCTGGATCTATTTCATTCGCAAAAAATCTGATGTCTTCTTATGTTTTGTTAAATTCCGGCAAGTCGTTGAAAATTTTTTTGATAAATCCATTAAACAATTTCAATCTGATTGGGGTGGAGAATACCAAGCTCTCCAAAAATATTTGAGTGACAATGGAATAATACAACGTAGTTGGAATAATACAAC